TACAGGTTGTAATAAATCCAGTTTTGAAAGTGACAGATTATTCTCTGCATAAACACCCTGAAGGTTGCATGAGCGTACGTGGTTTCACTGCCGAAGTAGAACGTTACGATAGTGTGATACTTACTGGTTTAGATCGAAAAGGTGCACCACTGGAGTTAAAATTGAACGGCTGGAATGCACGTATTGCACAACATGAAATGGATCCTCTGAATGGCAAATTATACATTGATACAATGGATCGTGCCACATTTGCGTGTACCTGCTGGCAAGTTATTAACAATAAGGGCGGACGTGTCGAGATACCTTTTTATAAATAATAAGTGGTTTTGTTAATTAAGTTTGTTTAAAATTACTGTAATTTTTTAATTAAATACAAAAAAAATGCTAAATAAAGCAATATAAATTAAATGTATATAATTCAATAAAGTAACTAGCTAATGTACATACTTCAAAATTCATATTTTAAAGAGGTGATCATTGTATATAATACTTGGCATACATAAATGCAGCTTAATTTATATTGATGTGCATGATTGCAATGTCGTTATGCAATATTTTTAATCAAAAGTTAATCATTTTCTTTTTAAATTTGTATTATTTATTTTTTAAAAATAAATTAGTTATACTACTATTGTAAAACCAATACACCAAAGAAAATTATAATAATTTTTAAATAAAGCAGTCTTCAACATACAAATTTAGTATCTAACTCCAAAACACATTTAAATAATATATATTATAATATTATAATAGTATTATATTATAATAATTACAATAATACATATACCAGTGAAGGTTTCTTTTTGGTTATTTATCTACCAAAAAAAAAAAAGGTTTGTGCTAGCTGTAATTCAATCTCTGATAAAAACATCTGGGCGAAGTTAATAATAAAAATAAGCGGATATATCCGTTATAATATATAACGATATATTATAAAGGATATACCACAAATGGCACATAATATAAATAAATGCTTTTTAATTATTTCTTATGTATACATTTATTTAACAACTTAATATTTTATTTAAACCTATCAATGCAACAAAATTAATACTAATTATACTATAAGCCAACGGATGACATTATGTCACAGTCATAGCGACTGTTTATATATACTTTTTGTTTATATATACTTATATATTAATTTAATGATTCATAGAGGCCTACTATAAAAATGATTATCGAAGGTAAAACAAATATACAAACATAGAAACATAGTGAAGAGCCCATTCCCCATGGATGTAGCCAAGAGGTGTATATGGGCGGGACTAATGGAATAATGTGCATACTTCTAAATCATTTAAAAGCAAATTCACGCTTTCAATGCAATGAACTTTATTTGATGTTAATCGCATACCATATGGGTATTATTCTGAATTTCGTCTATATTTTTATATAAATAATATGTAAATTTTGTTTTTTGGATCTTTATTTTTATAAAGAAATTTCAGTTATATAAAATATTCCACACCCATGTCCTGGTTCCTGACTACTTCCAGGCTATCTTTCTCTCCTATTGGAACTTTATTCACACTTAAGCTCAATAAGTCGCAATCATCCTCTACATATATATCATAAATATATAGAACTTATTATCTACTATATTGAAATTATTTAACCAATTATATAAATTCACTTAATTTAACGTTACAAATTTTTTTTTGGTATTTTGCTTTCACAACTTTTCCCTAGAGTATCCGTATCGGTTGTTTGGCAACGCTTATTTAAAACAAATGGATCGTTCAAATTCAAGCAATTGATTGAATAAAGGAGTTGCTCCTTTGTAGTGCACACTGATATGATGATGGAGGAATTACATTTTCAAAAAAAAATAATATATGTTTAAATTTTGCCGGGCTTTGAATCGTGTAAAAGATATTATATCTATCTTCAGTAGTTATAATAAAAAATTTATAATAATTAAATAAATAAAATAAAAGTTGGAAAAATAAAATAATAAGAAAAAAATTGTTATACTTATAAACTTAAATACTTTCTTTAATGCAAATATACTTTTTTTAAGCTTAAGCGTTAATTAAAAAAATGTCTTAAAAGTGTTATACGTATAAGAGTATTGATTTGTTTTCTTCTTATCAAAAAAACATCGTTTAATTTTTATCATAATTAGAAGCAATCTTTCAATGATAAAGATACTTTTTCTTATCGAATGGTAGTTTCACTAGAGAAAAGAACTCGTAGTCAGTGCCAAACCAGATACTGAAGAATAAATAATACTCCGATACTTATTTGTGCAATTAAAGTGTTATATAAATTAAATACAGATATATGTAAAATATATTATTATAATAATATGTTATATTAATTAATATACAACAAATAAAATAAATAAATAGTTTTGTGCTAAAAATGCAATAAAATATTCATAATAATAGTATTTATACAAAATAAATCGGAGAGTGGAAAATTAATAAAAATTCATTTAGTTGATGTGTTTAATAAATAATAAATTTATATAAAAATATATATTTTATAATTAAATGAAGAAATAAAATATAAAATAAAATGTATAAAATATGTGACCACTTATATAGTAGAATATATATGGTATATATTCTGCCAATGGATTTGTCATTGTTTTTAATATAATAATTGTTAATTGTTAATTGTTAGTTTATTAATTTAATTATTATAACAAACATATTCCCAGTGCTACGGATCTGTTGTTTCAAACATGTCTTGAAGATTTTACAATAAATTTAACTTTGTTAATATAATTTTATCAATTAATTTAAAGTGAAGTAATGACTAATTTCTACAGTTTTTCAATTTAATAGGAAACACCAATGATAAAAAAAAACATGTATCAATTTCCAATAACGAAATTGAACTCTTCGTAATAAGCAAATCTGTTATCAATTCCAATTTAAATAAACGTTTTGTCGTCTGAATGAGTAAACGTTAAAGATGGAATAATAATATGAATATTTAGGTTTTTTGCTTCTGGTTTTTTCAATATCCTCTTAAATTCATCAGATATCTTATCATTCATGTTCATTTTGCTTCGCTAACGCAACACAGATTTTTGTACCTTTAAAATGAAAGTGGGGACTTTTTGGGTAGTCGGATAGTATTAAAGAATTTGATTTTTGAACACGTTTATAAAATTTTTTTTGTTTTTCTTTTAATAACCCCAATTCAACTCAGTTGGGTACTAGGTTCTCCATACTATGCACTATTAAGTTTCATTTTGGATGCATACCATTTTTCTTCAAGAACCATATTGGAGGGTTTGTATTTAACCTTTCTAATCCCAGAATGCAAATATCAATACACATATTTTTATGGAATAAGTCTATAAAATTATAAATATAATTTTTTTTATTAAATTTTTCCAAACCTTTATAAAACAGTAAAAAAAACTAAAAACAAAACACTTAACTTAATACAAACCAATTGTTCAAATATACTACTAGTATCCTATCAGGACCTATATAGGGACATCTGTTATTTCTTCTAAATGCCACATATTTTCAAAATTCAAGAATATAGTATCAGTGTAATTTTATTCTGTTGCAAAAAAAACGTAAAAAATATATCAGGAATCTCAAATTAACGAACTTTTATCCGTACTTTTGTGTCAGAGCTACTGACTCAGATAATGGTAGCAAGTGGCCTATAAATTGATAAAATAATCTAATTTTACTAAAGCTATTTTCTGCTTTAGTAAGATATTACTGTTCTTATATCAGAGCTACCATTAGTAGAAACATGATCATATGAGGGGTATAAAATTGAAATTAATTCTCTCCACATTCTATACCACACACCACAATTTTTGTTTTCATACATAAGCCCTAAGAATATTTGAATACACTCGTGCTATCTAAAACTATCTCTTCTATACTAATTTATTAATGATGAATGAATTTGAATGTAAACACTGACGTCTCTGATTTCAACTGTAATAATAAAGTAGTTAAAAACTGTGATATGTAAAACAATGCACTTAAGTGCTTTTTTGTTTATGTATTCTTCTTATCGGTGATTTTTTAACTACTGCTGAAGTTCAATTACGTTATTGGGTTATATCAGTGAAAAAACAAGTCAGTAGTAAAAGTTATACTTTATCTTGAAGCCAACAAAGGATGAAAGACCTGACAAGTCTATAAACTTGAAGAAATCCCTTATTATGGAGACAGACAGCTCTGTCAGGAAAGCTGGTAGGAAATAGAAGCCGTTAGGAAAAGGTGCCTAAAGATTTTTTACTTTTTATTGGTCAAAGATGGGACTTGATAAAAAAAACCGAAACATGGATTCCTTCTCCTCTTTAGAGCTATAATAACTACAAAATTAATTATAAGAGAAATGAAAGTAGAGTTCCTGTCTTGTAAAGCTCATCTGCCCTTTACTTTTTTGAAATCTCATGTAAGTTACACTATAATTTGCCCAGCTAGTTTGTTAAGAGAACTTTGACATTCTCGAACTTTTAAGGATGCAGATGTAGCTCTCGAATACTTAATTATTTAATTGCAATTATTTTTAAAATGTAAAACAACACCTATAATTAAAAGATAAAACTACTAATATGAATCTGAATATTTATCTAAATACTCACAATTATTCAAATCTTAATTTAATGTTTTGTGCATGAATTATATAGCAATAATAAAATTTTATATTTCGAATATATGTTCGCATTATTTTTTCTCAAGAAAATGATATGAGCAGGAAATAAGTAATTCAACTAGAAAATTTCCATGGCAATCAACCGTTAACAATGCTTAGCAAAGATAATCTCTAATTCCTTTATGTAAAATGTCGTTCAAGTTAAATGACTTTATCTAAACTAATTATCATGTGCTCCACTTCTCATAACTAATACTAAATGCTAGCATAAAAGGGAAGCATGAAAAAGCAACATAAAAAAGTAGTATAAAAAGGTAGCATAAAAAAATAGCAGCATTGAAGATACCATTTAAAAAGCTAATTAAGTTTTTTTGAAAGTTGAATTAACAGAAAATATTTTTAGACAATTAAATTAACTCCAGAGTTAGATATACAAAAGACCATTCTTAATTTGTCTTAAATTTTGTCTTGTTTGCACTAAGAATATATAAATCAACTTATTGCCCTTACTTTTAAAATTATTTTCAAGTACAAACTACTTTTATTTTTTAAAAAAATTCTGTTTAGAATAAAAAATTAATTACCGTTGCTATTCATAGCCTAACTATACGGTATACCATTGGTTTAACACAAATATTAAATTACTCTTTCCGCTACAAATAATTCCATTTAAATTGTCCTTCTAAAAGCAGAACTCTTTCATATTCCAATTACAAATGCAGTACATTAT